ATTCTCCGAACTGAATATGTTTCATATTCGGCTTCTTGGGTTTACTGGTCCATTCATATGGTTTTAAAGAAATAAATTCGATATTACATCTCATTTTTGATATATATTAGAAGACACCTGAAAAATTAAAGGTCTGTTATTCAAATTTAACGGCGCAGTAAATAATACCTCAAACTGGTCTTGGAGTGCATTTCACATTTCGTAACGCTTTCACGTGTCTTCACGTATCTCTTTTCATCCGGAAGCGGATTATCGCGTAGTATGGAGAAAAATCTTCGCCCAGCCCTCAAGACAAGCACAAAAACCGACAGTGAGGAGAATCGTCGTGTTCACTTTGCTGTCCCTGGTTCACAAGCTCATGGGATTAAGAGGTATTTTAGACTCTGCTAGCAAGCTCAGTCACTTTTTTTCAGATCCAAACCTTCAGAAAACCGACAGTACTCATATTCGTTGGATAAAAAGAAGAGATGTGATATTTCGGAAAACGTAGTAGCATTAACAAATGCTCTAAAATGTGATGATATTCTGAATACCGTAGAGCCGAGTATTGAAGAGCTTGGATTAGAGGTAGTTAGGCGAAGTTGGCTGTATGTTTATTCCAATTTAGTCGTGTACCAAAACAGCAGAGATTGCGACAGCTATAGATGAAATGACAAACTTCGCTCTGAATATCGTGGATATGGATTTACAACTGAAGCCCATAGTTGAGAACGATGCGATAGAGATGGAAAGAACTATCGAACGTATGGAATTCCCTTCACTGATCGAGGTTCCTACCAATTCATTCAATACTATAATCGCCTATAATTAGATGAATACTGATATGAAAAACATTTCTGTGGTTCATGATTCCATAAATCAAACGAAACTCAATGCTGAAGAGCTGATCACGAAGCTGGAAAGTGGTAATGTTGCTGGGGAAGACTTCGAAAAGTTAGAAAAGCTGCTTAACGATCATTTTAACCAAGTGAAGAACACTTTCAAAGAGTTACTGTAATCGTTTAGAGGTAAAGCAATCTGTTGATCTCGTTTTTGTTCTCGGAAAATGTTTTAAAGTTCTGTTCTGAATTAGTTCTTGTGAATAGCTCTTGTCTGTACCATAGTTGAATTGTGATTGAATTTATGTAATAAAAGAATTTTTATTTTTTCTGGCCAACCAGAAAGCCTTCCTGATTCTTAATAATGGCCATCAACGTGTCCAGGACTAATGTTTGACATCCGATGAATAGACTAGCCAACGGATAGTCCCAAACATATGATAAAACTAAATGAAAGGAGTTGATCATTTCAAAATAAAAAAGCTACCAAATGAAGAAGAAGAATATGCAATTGTAATCAAAGCTATGATCAAATCCGTTATTATTATCACGAACTTATGAAAACTGTCATTATTTTCTTTTCAAAAAAGCTCTTACTTGGACCACAAGGGCTTTTTTGGATAAACTATAATTTGGATGCGATGCTGAAGCCAGCTTGAACGAAGTTGTCATTGCCGTGAGAAACATTCCAATTATTTGAACAAGATTCAAGACTTTCAACTCAATGGAACAGTTCAAGAAAATAGATCTGTTGCAACCTCAATATAATAAACCACATATAAGGAAAGGATGAACACTCACTTAACTCAAAGTTACTGATCAGAGTCAAGAACATGTATCCTTTCAATAAACAATAGAGGAGATCAAAAATTACTTTTTGTTTGTAAATGGAGTGTATATACTACAAATAATTGAAAGAAAATAAATCAAAAGAGGAACTTACAAAACCATTCTTAACTCTTTTATCAGCTCTCGCGATTTTCCCAATAATTTCAGCACTTTTCATCATTAAAGATTTAGACCCATTGGGAGATTGCAATAGAGCAGATTTCTGCCTGCTACTCATGCCCAACCGCTCCTAACAAATGAAAGCTTCGAAATTAAAACGAATTTCAATTCAACAAGGTGGAGATAGATCATGTCATTTATTAGGAACAATTAGAATCAGGCACACTAATGGAGACAATCTCTTTCCTCACCTACAAATTTTCCTTCTAGCTGAAGCATACCCAAGTTCAGGGTCTTCGATGGCTGCTTCGTTTTCGTAATGTAGTCTGATGGGATGTATATGGTTAGTTTTCTCTGACAGGGCTGTAAAAGACAAATAGTATGAATCTGCATCATTTCAATTACCTTGATGCCATCATTGCAGTCATGATATATATTAATTTTGGGTTCAATTTCGCCAATCTCATCAGCGTTTCCACTTAGCCTGAACTTGCCATTAGAGTCTGACTTGGCAGAGTCCATGAGCTCATCTGGTGTAACTGCAACAATCGGATACAAATTGAAAGAACACACTAGCTATACGTGTGTCATGCTCGAAAAGCTTAACTAGGACTGATGCTGCGGGATTATCACCACACATGAGTACACCTTCCACAGCTGTGGACTGCGTGAAACCGATACTTTGGACTACAGGTAAAAGAAAAGCAACGAAGAGGATGCTTATATTCATTATCTAAAATACTACAACTCAGTTGAATGATAGAAAACTGAATAAAATTAAAGCAGTCACAAGCGGAAATAGTTACATTTCTCAAGAAAAGAAGACTATTCACGCTATAACTAATCGGGGAACAATAATGGCGAAGACGATTACAACAACTTAGGGTAGCTTTCTTTTCAATAGACTGTCAAAACCTGTTTGCGTCTTTATCAACTATCAAAACAATCAGCGATGAATCGGATAGGTCAGGAAGGTAGTTCTAACAACAATGAGTCATTAAGGTTCTACATTTATATATTAGATGAACATTAATTATAACAACAATAAGTATAGGATTCCTCAAGCTGGCGTTGCTGAGTCCATGATGTTCACGGTGAAGAAAATGTGCAGTTAGGCTTCATGATTTTATCTAGTAACTACGAACGTCTTTAACGTCTTATGATAACAACACAAAACCAGAGGAACATAATCCTAATTATTAGAACAAGGGAACCAGGAGATGCACCCTCGTAGAGTGATATACAATGTCGAAACGTGAAACAATAATAAGTTAACGTAAGGAATTTGGAAGATGAGATGAAAAGTGAGATTTATTAGAAAAACCAGGGGTTGCCTTGATAATAGCCAGTTCGTTTCCAAAATGCTTAATTTATAGAGTGGTGGCTTGTCTTTGATAAGCCGGAGATGCAACATCATAATCGCGATTCATAATATAATACTTAGACAGATTCTTGTTCAGGTAGACCAAAAAGTCATGAATAGCTGTGGTAATCATCTAAAAATCTAAAATTGGAGAAAAAATTGCAACAGCTATTTACCTTGATAGTTCTCTCCTTCCAAGATGTGAGCTTCAAGTATACATCAAATCGTGATAATAACCTCAATAGATGAGGCAATCCATACATTTTAGATGGCTTGATTGAACGTGGAGCAGTGGTGGTAGGGGGAACTGATATGAATCAAGTAGGATAGCTGATTGGTTTATTGCTTACCCTCAGGTTCTGGTTCCTTTGTCGATCTTCTCTTCTTGCTAGGTACCTCATTTTCATTCGTCTTAGGAACTTCACGAGCTTTTACAAGTTCGTCATAGTACTGCTGTCTTTCAAACTTGTACAATAGTTGGAAGCTATAAGAATCAGTAAGACATGTGAAAATTTGATTTAAGAAAACCCCAGAAGAGTATCGAAATAATCCTGAATTCCTAGAGCACTTTGTACTAACTGATATCCAGAAGATTGAGCCGAACTATTTTCGTACTCAATGACCACTTCGTCAACGGCTTGTTCAGGCGCTTTCTTGACGGATGATTCACAATACTATAAGAAGACTGATGAGGTATTGCATACTTCATGGGATATCTTACATCCTGTATAATCATCTCTACAGTGTACCGGGCAGGTAGGCGAGTGAGCTTACAGTGACGGTTAACCATATCATGGTCATCCACCAGCACTTGCATCAAGTTTTTGGGCATTCTTATGAAATACTTTAAAGAAAATTCAATAATTTGTTCACGTTGAGCTTTACAAACCTCATTCGGACCTTCCTTCAAAGGCTCAACGAAAGAATTGTCATCTGCTTTTCTTTTGATTCCACGTGCTGCCGAGGTAGAAGCATTAGCTACTGGAGATAGTGTAGGTTCATGCTTGCCTCGCATGGTTTTCTCACTAGTGATCGAGTTAGCTTTAGTACTTCCACCAGCTCTATCACTAGGTGTAGAAGCTCTACTGCCGGTCTCACTCTTTCTCAGCTAAAATAAAAAAAAACGTTTTGTATATAAATAAAATTACCTCATCATCCATGTCTTGTTTACTCTTCTTCTTCCCGGCCTTGGCTTTAGCATCCTTTGCTTCTCTATATTCATTCTGTAAAACATGTAAGGCTGGTTAAATTTACCTTCTATCAAAACTTACTTTCGCTGAATTGTGGGCCTCGTCGCTAAAGTCCTTAAATTTTTCCAGCGATTCTGTTTGAGTTATCCATTCATCATGTCTTTTATGCCAACCCTGGAATAAGGAATAGAGGTCGAATCTACTGGATTCATACCTGATAATGTATTAGAAAAGCTGTTTCTGGGCCTTCTTGCTTCTTGTCAATGATTTTAGCATCGTAAAAAAACCCCGCGTGCTTGCAGAGAATGCGAGTGTTTGTTTCATAATCTGGCAACTTTTTCGAAGGTGGCATCTGAAATTAAAGAGAATACAAACAGTTATTCGGAATAAACACAAAAAACAGAATGCAAGAGATTGTGAAATTATACCGAATTTGAAAATAAAGATTTTTCCGGGACGCCGCTCTCTCGCATTTTTGTGGGCGGAGCCTATTGGGTTCAAGCAAAAGTGGCGCAGTCACAATTAATTTCTAATCATGTATTACGTTTGACATTTGAACCGGTTTATGCTATTAGTTAATTGAGTATATTCTGCTATTTGTGAAGTTATTATGCAAAAATAGTTTAATATATAATTTGAAAGGACAGTGGCTATTCTTAAATTGACAATGATCGCCATATACTATGAGAGACAACCTACTATATATCGTGCACGCCTATTTCGCATTTAGCGTCCTTTTATTAATTTTTGATGTGTGGTCTACATTCGTTATTTCTCTAGCATGTACGTAGCTTCAAATCTTCAAACCTGCTTCATCATTATATTCATAGTCAATCGTATGAGTTTAATATTTAATACGCACCCACTGTGTAGTAATATGGTTTAACAATTGTTTTACTCCAAGTTCTCGCGCATTATCCTTGCATCTAGTTCTCTCGTCTCCTATAGAAACGAAACTAATTGTAGTCCTGCTAGTTATTTCGGAATTAGTTTCGGTTGTCGTACCTCTATTAAACCAACTTCCAATGGCTCTGCTTCACGTCTGGAATTTAGTTTCATTTCTTTCAAGATGGCCCAGTTACCAATCGAACGAGCAAAGCTCTGCGATGCTATATCGGAACTAATTGATAATCAAGGGGATAATAATAAGAATTCGCTAACTGGAAAAATGGTTCGAGATCATTTGCAGGTAATTATTATTATTTTTTTTCGTAAATTGAATCATTATTTCTTGTAGGAAAAGTTCAAGGTTGACTTAAAACCTTACAAAAAAATAGTTGACAAAATTGTTATGCGTACATATCAAAAAAAGGTTTGTACCTTTCGTTGTTGTTTTACATGCTAGTAACGTATTCAGATGAATGGTAGTTCCGCTACCGAATCTGACGAAGATTCCGATAATGATGAATCTCATCACGATACTAGCTCTGCTGGTGCTTCAACCAGTAGAAAGTAATATTATCACTTGCGTTATTTTTTTTTAATATATGTTCTTGAGGACTGGAAGTGAATCTGATAGTGACCATGGGGTTGCCTCCACAGATCGATTCAAGAAGGATAAGACCAAAAGAAAGAAGGTTGGTTATTCGGCTGTTTGTTATCTATCGCGTATTACAGAGAGAGGCGCCTACAGAGGAGGTCAACGAGGATGAAAATGACCTCATGTCTGTCGTTAAGAAACGCCCTAGAGCTGCTGCTAGAGCAGCCAACGCGAATCTCAGAAAAACCCGTAGTTTCATTCGGACGAAAAAACCCGGAAATTGTCCGTTCACTCCGAAGACGAAGCTGTGCTACATCAGCGATAGTCTGCAGAAAGTCACTCATTCTAAATACATGAGGAGGTGCGACGTAAGTGCTGTTTCGAGTTTTTTTCTAATATTTGTCTAATGTTTTAGGTGGTTTCTTCGGTTTGGAATTATGTCCGCGTTAATAACTTGACCGATCCAAAAGATAAACGCTATGTCTTGAGTGACTCCCTTCTTCAAGAAATTGTGAAGAAAAACAGATTCTTGGGATTTGGGTCAGTATTGATTTGCTCATGTGGTTTAACCAACTTCCATTTCTAGTATGATGAAGATATTGGTTAAACACGTCATTGATCCTTCTGAATTGGGTTCAGAGTTTGTTGCAGAAGCTGATGTAGAGAGAGATCGTCTTCGTAATAAATGGATGGTATGTTTAACCCTGAGTTCTGTTTTGTATAGTTATGTTTCAGATTGAAAATGAAAAGTTAGGTGATGATACTGCCCCAGCTGATGGCGAAGCTGATGCAGATGCCGACGGTGATGCAGATGCTGATGCCGACGCTGATGGTGACGGCGATGCGGATGCAGATGATACCGCTTCTAACTCCAATGATGAAAACAACGGTTCAGAAACTTCTGATAATTAATTCCATGGAATTTTGTTCAATTTGACATCTATTTATAGCTTTAGAGCGTTTGTTTTTATGTTATAATCTTCCAAAAATATAATATTGAGAGCTCAAAAGAGTCGATCCTTGGTCTCTATGGAATCTATGAAGTTGAAGTTTAGCACAGTGTTACATATGTTACGGTTGAATTTGTTAGTTCACTTGCATAGTTTGTTTGAATTTGTTCCTTGCCCTATCAGCATACCTTGTTCGAAGTTCCAAGCTTCATTTCCCAAAAAAACTATTCTAGTTGTATTAATTTTTAATATGTATTCATAGTTAGTAAAAAAGTGTAATGTTATCTCTTCATCGGTTTTTTGCCGTAGATACTTGCCTGTTGCCATATCGTTTTCACATCAATCATTTGCTTTGAGTTTAGATCTTATGTTTTGAGTCTATTGGCCAGAATGCCGAAGGATCAGGAGGCAAAAGCTTCCCCAATAGGTTTCGTTCGCCTTTCAGTTTTTTTCCAATTTTTTCATTTCAAGGGAATTTTCTTTCCAAATTTGGCCGTGTTAGAGCTAGAAGTCCTAGAAAGCCAAGTTTTAAAAACTCCACTGATAAGGAGAATGATGTGGTGTATGTTTGTAGGTCATCCACAGTGTTCAATAGAATCATTTAGCTTCAAGTGCCCCGCTCCTCCTAGAAGTCATTCACCTTCGTCCAAGTTTGGAACTTTAGTTAACCGATTATCGGGACGGAAACCGAAAACGGTAAGTCTTACTTATGTTGATTAGTGTAATCTCTAAGGTTATAGATTAGTTGTCGCGAGTCCTCTCTGGACCGAGCGGAAACTCCTAAAAACCCGCAACATCAACATGTCCCCTTCCAGTCTCCCAGACCTGCCGTGAGCGAGAATGATCTTCGTCACGTCACACTTTCCCGAGGTGGAGCGGTAAGTTGATGATTAGTCAGTTTATAAGAGATAGTTTTTCATAACTATGGTTTTTCGTAATTTTTTAATCATTAAAGCCCAAACAAATACGCTCTCATGTGCAAATAAGCATAGCATATGATGTTCATGAATTTGCTTATCTCATGTAAGCCAAGTGGCTCTAGCCAACGAAGCATTGTTGAGCATCAGAGCGAAGCTCTATAGACTCTCGTTTGTATTCTATCGGACAGAGGCTGAGCAGGTGCGATGTGCCCAGTATTCACATCCCTGGCATGTTTGCGTTCAGAATTCTTGGACTTCATGCCACAGTTCCTTCTATTTCTGTTTAAGCACTACGAAATGTGCACTAGCGCTTCCTTTGTTTACAGAGCAGTTGAAGGTTATGTGCTCGTCACTACCTCAGACGACTATTTCATATTTTTTGCCCTTATATTTCCTTTTATCCAAGCGTATATCGTACAGTTTTTTTTTCACAGCTACCAGTCAGTCGGAAGCTTGTTTGTTATGCGATCTTTCATATGGTGATATGAGAGATTTATAGCTTTTTCTGTCCATATAAGGTGTTCTCACGAAATAATTTGCTAAAGTCTTGTGTCGATCCACAACTTGCTTTTGTTTTGTCTCCTCCTAGAATGCATTCATATTGTAACCCTATAACATTTATGATCAGAATACATATTCTCGCAGTCATGCATGACAATTTCTGTCGGGTTTGATCATTAACGGAACAGCTTTCTAGGAAGCATTCTTATATTGTGCTGCCAACAACGTTGGAAAAAAGAAATATTTTTTGAGTTAAATGAGTATATAACATAAGTACATTATAGGATCTTCCGGTAACGCCATTGGCTGGTGTCACACACTTTATGTCGGAAGATAATCTTGCCTCTGCGGAATGTGGTACTCCAGCTCATCGTGTGCCAAGCTATGTAAAAATCAGTTGTACCTTAAATGGCTATTCAAAGTAAATACATAATGAATTAGGAGAAATTCTATTATTATATTTAGGTCTCCAAGACAGCAAACGCAAATTTCTGATTCTCCCTTGAGATCCACCAAGGGGATGAGTTTAGTTGAAAGACGACTCATGCAGTATCGGGATTTCAGCAATAGCGCGTAAGTTGTTTTTGGTTCAGTCCATTACTCTCTATTCCTCTCCCTCTCCCTCTCTATCTTTATTGTTTCGTTTTCTTACTTACTTGAGATGTTTTTGTGAACTGCAATTAGACATTTCTTCCGCATTCCGTATGAGGATATCCGCTCCTTATGGCAATTTGACACGTGCACACTCCCTCGTCACAAGAACAATTGCGCTTTCGAAGGAATTATTTTACTTCAATGCTACATTACTAACTACAATATTTACCGGTCTTTGATTTCCTTTCAATACTCTGCCATAAGATTCAGGACACAACAAGTGCGTCCATTCTTCGCTTACATTTCTCTTTTTATACTTAAAATATAATCCTGATTGGGCGTCATCAAGCGAGGTCTATCCGTTAGACGTCGTTTAGACTGAGAATTTCAAATGACATTAGAAGCAATGGTAACAGGTCGTTGTCTTTTTTGTTCCTTATGCTATGTGTCTTCGTTATTCCTCCATCAGCCCCGGTTTTAGTTTGTAAGATCCTCATTCTCAAGGTTATCGGAGAGAGTAGGAATGCGCAATCAGCAAGAAGAAGAGGTTAGCTATATGGCATATCAACTGATGTCAGACAAAATTGTGGTTTTGTTACTTGTGTCATCATACATCCATCTCCAAGTCATTTCGTTCTTTGTTCTGTAAGAATCGATTCATTTTTAACGAAGTGCTACTGCCTTCTATGCCCTCAGACTATTCCGGCCTTCATTTTTTTACACCAAGCGAGTGCTTCGCTTACATATGTTGTTTGTGGTGAAATAGTTGACAGTGAGGACGAGGACGTGACTATTGTGGTCGATAGCTTTCCTCCAGACTCTTCATATGTTTCACTTTTTGCTTTTCCTTGTTTGTATTATTAATTGTGACGGAATTCTTACGTTAGAATACGCGGAGACACGATATGATCGTGGTCATTGTTGATTCATGAGGAGAGTATGTGGAGGTCTATGTCGATCTGTTCACATTTCATCGAAGTGATTCTTATCGTTCTATACAGTTAAACGTATCTTAGTCTATCATAGTTTTTGATGAGAACCTAACACGTTTCACTCTTTGTCTCTAAGATTGTAGCAGTTAATTACCAGATTAAGTATCTGTTAACGTCTTTTTGCTCGCCCTCGCGACCTATTCGCAGTTGTTTATATTGACTAAGTCCGCACGTTGACTTACAACATAAGTTTCTTAATATTAGCCTAAACATATTCACAAAACCAGATTCAAGCCAATATTGTAAGACCACTGTCTTGACCTTATCGTATATATTTTCCGTACGTGTTTTATGGTCTGCTTCTCGATCACTCTGTCTTCGCTTTGTGTATCTTCTCACTATCCCGCGCGGCCGCCTTATTTTCCCTCCACTTTTCTCTTTCTCTCTCCCTTTCAGAGATTTCATCCATCCGTTCATAATATGACAGTTTTTGACGGACGAGACTTGGTTGTTTCGTCTTTTTGTTCCATTTAGAGTTCTCCTGTCGCAAACTTTGTATGTGTTTTATGATAGGATGAACATGAGCTCCTTACTTGTCCTCTGGCGGATATGGGCATAGGCGATAGGTCTCCGGGTGCAATTTTAGATTTCTCGATCTTGAATCTTCCGCCTTTGTTTTCTTAATCGAAACGTCCTTTCTATTTGTTCACACCTTATATAAAGATTGATGGAGGCTCGACAGTTTGCAATCAGAATTCTGCTCATTGCTATGCTACCTTATACTTAGCTATATGTTGTTTCAAAAACTTGCTTGTCTTCTGATTGAATATCCTTCGAAAGAAAAACATTACAAGGATATCAGAGTAAAGACACTTCTTGAGGCAAAACTCTCCTTTATCTATCCCATTGATTGAAGAAATTACGTTTGTTTATCCTTTTGAAGTAAGCTCTTTCAGCTGCAACACTCCCAGCCCGAAACGTCTTCCGATCTATAACGACGAAACTTCTCCCGAGATGGGAAACAATATATCATCAACGACACCTATTAAATCATTAATAAGTAAGCGTTCGTTTTAAAGGTTTTTTTTTGAATTTTCCGTTCGATAGGCCAATTTGATAAGTTGCACTTATGTAGTCACGACAAGGATACGGAGAAAACTAATGAGTTTAAATCTGAAAAAATCATTTCAGTTCAGCCGGTACGTTTTCTTTTTTTCTTGATGATAAGCCTCCCTCTATATCAATGAAACCAAATATTAGTTGCGTGTGAATTGATAAACCGTTTTCTTGTTTTTAGGAATCTGAAGAAGCAATGTCGGACAAGGAGAACTTTTCTAATTTATCAAAGTATATAGGTGAATCTATTCCTAGTACCAGTTCGAGCGAACTTTGTTCTGAAGAGGTGAGTGACTAAGATGTACTTCCGTTTATCATTTTCTTGCTAACAGAGTTCACCACGCGTATCTTCTGGCTCTGGAGAAGTGAAAGAGAAAGTTGTCACGGAAGGAGATGATAAAGTCATCAGCTCTGCTCGGTAATTCCTTAATTTGAACAAGTTTTTAATTCGTTCTTCTTTCAGTTCAGGGAAGGCTTTTCAAGATGTATTGAATGAAACCAAAACTTCTCTCGAACGAAAGATATGTGAGGGTGACGAAAACTTGGAGAAGGTGCGGATTTTCTAAATATAGTTGCAACTTGACATTTTGTAGATCCAAGATTTATCAGATGAAGCCTCGTCTCACATAAGAATGGCTTGTGGCAAAGCGAAACTTCTAATAAAAAAAAAGCTGTCAAAGTTTTCCGAATTGGTAAACAAAAACCTGGTCAGTTCCAAAACGCAGAACTAGATTTCTTATTTGAAAAATCATAGAACCCAATAGAAGGCGATTTGCAACCTGCGACTGATGATGACTTAGAGGGTTACTGGGCCCTTGTCGAGATAGAATTAGAAGATATCAAACAGTGTTTTAATATTGTGGAGAAATGGAGAATGAATAATTGGAGCGAACCACAAGGCGAAAGCGACAAGTTTGTAAACATTCTGTTCGTTTAATGTTTTTTTTTCAGCTTGAGCGATAATAATAATGTGGTGAAGCCAAAGGCACAAGTAATCAAAGTAAAACCGGCTCCACAACAAGCTAAGCCAAAAACGGAGAAACAGGTAAGAAAACTCATTTCTTTGTTTGTTCTAATTATGGAATCACAGATTGCGATGGAACAGCAGAGGAAAAAGCAAATGGCTGAAGCCAGGGCAAGAATGGCTGCTGCTCGTAAAGCTCAAACCGATGATAGCGATTGTAATGTGATCATCGCTAGCTGACAATGATCAAGCTGAATCACAAACTTGTTGTTGATATTTGTTTTTCTTAGAAGTTTTATTTTTTTGTTTCTTTGTGCAATCATAGCGAAAAGATTCTCACAGACATGACGTCTTACAGTACTCATCCCTGATACTTATCTTTATAATTCAGTTCGTTTGCGCATGTAACTTATATTTTAATTATTTATGCGGTATTCTTGTGCTTTATTGCTTTCTGCCTCGCCTTTCTACTGAGCAAGTCTCACTTCGAAGATGCCTTATACGTTTCTTAAGAGGGTGCTTTTTTCCTTATTAACGAGGGTTATGTTTTATCAGTACAGCATAATTAATCGTGTTATTATGCAATATAGTTGTCTACATAAAGCCTATAAATAGATTTCGATACTATTATCGAGTTTTTCCATGTTTCACGCATTTTATATCTCCATATATGCAGTTTTGGCAAACCTTCTTGAACTTAAGGACATGCAAGCTTTACCTGAGCAATGGTGGAGCAGTGCTGACTACTCGTCGTTCTGGAATTATTATAGAGCTGCAGAAGAATGGCGAACATTACATCCGCAACTAGTTGCTCAGTCTTTCTCTCTTGTTTTGACACAGAGGCAAAAAGGTAAAGACTATGAATCCTGTGCACAAAGTTCCAAATGAGCTTCACTGCGAATATTTCCACTCGTGTTGATTATCTGTTTATGCTGATTTCCTTGCTCTATGTTTACTTTTAGCACAGTGTGATACTCAGCCTACAGTTAGCCGAAGGGATATCCCAACTCCTAATAGTTCTCGTTACGAGCGACATAATCATCAAAATGAAGTAAAAGAAGAAACAGTAGAACATGGTAGTCTATTTTTGTATAACAACAGAATACAAATAGCTTTTTCTAGAAGCTATGGAGTACGAAGAAAATGTAGAAAATGAAGAGATGGATGAAGAGTACTTAGAATTTCGTAAAAAAACTCTGGAGCATCGACAGAAAAGTAAGTTGTTCTCTAACTGGTCGGATTATATTCAAATCATTGCCACAGGGGACGCAAAAAGGAATATGGAAAAACAGGAACATAAGGATGAATCTCACTGGATTAAATTGCGAGAGGATGATTATGTTGATGCTGGGAAAAGTATGTTGATTGGATGATGCTGTTCTCATTTTGATACATGTTTAGTTGGTGTTGAAGGACCAAAGAAATACACTCTAAAAGCTCCTGACGAGCGTACAAAAAATCAAAATCGTAGGGAACAAGCCAAGAAGTTATATGGAGAGGTAACTTAAAATGCCCTTTTGATACAAATACGGTGTAACTTGTTTTGCAGATGGCCGAAAAAATTCTAGCGATGGAAACTTCGCTGGAAATGCGGTTTACCGATGAGCACAGAAGGAAGCAACCTGCAATGTGGCCGAACATTCCATTGAGATTTTAATGTTATTATATGTGATTCTAACTGCTCATGAAGCATTACATTCATCGTATATAACTTGTTCGCACCCAACAGTTTCTAACTGTTTGATATCTTTATAATTTATGAGTTTGTTGGGTATTTGTATCCTTTGAAGATGGAGGACGTTGATTCAATTCGCAAGGAGAGCAGGAAACGGAAATATGAGGGCTTAACCGAGGAACAAATCGCGGAAAAGAAAGCTAGGAAACGAATTAAAAAAGTATATATACTGCTAAGATATCTGAGTTAATCCGTTTGATTACTTAGGAGTTAGCAGATGCTAGTTATGGGGAAAATCTTGCTAACGTTGATGAAAACGCGAATGATGATGAAGTAGAGATAATTAAAGAAAAAAAGAGCAAAAAGAAGGAAAAGGGAGATCGGAAAGTGAAGCTCGAACCAGCTGATGAGCCTCAGGTGAGAGATTTAATATTTGAACAAGCTTTAACTATAAACTCAGGCTGACGCAGTATCGGGAGGAGAAGAAGAAGAAGCTGAAGGCCCTGTTAATGGCAAGGTCAAAGTTTTAAAGACAAAACTTCCAATTAATGTCTTAGCGGTATGATAGGTTCTGAAATCATAGAACTGTTTACTTGTTCTAGGTCAAAATGATTTCGTTTGATGAATGCCAACGAATGGCCAAAGAGAATGCCAACTGTGGAATGGTCATAGTGAAAGAGAAGCGTCATTTCGCATTGTCTTACCATTTACTTGGAGGAAATGTGATGAAGTCAATTGATTTCATCCTCAATCAATCAGTTGGAAAATATAGGAGTGTGTAAGTCGTTTTGTTTCTTACCGTATTCACTCTTCAATTCAGCGTGAGAGGTGTAGTCATTGCCGTACATGGTGCTAAGTTAATAGGAAACCCTAGAGTCATTGACGATCATGCCGTGTTTCACTGTTATGCAAAAGTGAAACAAGCAGTCTTTCAGTACGTCACTCCTTTTGATATATAATTGACTCGATTTTGCAGGCCTATTTCGAACCAGAATTATGAGTGTGTGGTTAAGCACATCTCAAATGATTACATATCAGCTCTGATTTTGGGTGCCATTTCCATCACCATGCCGCGAGACAAGAATTTCCGCGAAAACCTTCGAGGTATTGTTGCCATATACAAATCAAATCTAATTAATTGTTCTAGGTGTATCATTAGAGATGGGAGACACCGTTTTGGCTAAGTACACTGGCATTTCTATAAACCGTGGACTCTGTTCTCTCAGAGGGAACTTCTTGAAGATTGTTAAGAAAGGGTACGTAACGAGAAACAGGAACAGTCTGTTGTTCTTTCATAGTTCTCAGATCAAGAAACCTTCTCATAATCCATTCGCAATATTCTATATCATTAGTTGACATTTTTTCCTTTCAGAGAGAAGAAGGAGATAAAGGACGAGATGCCTGCGGTCAAAGTGAACACATCTACTAAGTTCGTTGACACAGACAATGAGTCGGAATAATTTCAAATTGTTGTTATTTTTGTTTTTCTTTATTCATGCAATTGTTACAATGTTGTTGTTACTGCTTTTACGATATAGATGAGATAAACTTTTATTTTTCTGTTCAAATAGAAACTGTATGGATGCATTGTATTCCGCCGAAGTTCCTTGTTTCACTTTATCTGTTTTCTGATTATGATTTCTTTTTACAGGTTGAAAATGGAAAAACAAAGACAGAAGAAACTGGAGTTATCTAGTATCTTAACGGCATGATTGACGTTTCATAAACAATGAAGAGCCATTGCTCGTTCCAGGTCAATTGGTTCCGTTAGCGCAATGCAGAAAAATGCTCCAATATACCCAAATGTGGTGTGGTAAATATAAAAAAGGAAGCTGAATATGTTGCTTCCATAATTAGAAGTCTCAGCGACGATCATACGATGTTCCTGAGCTGTCTCCCAGTATGTCATTTACCTCAAAAAGTTAATTCCTCGATTTTTCAGACCTTTCTCGAATCAGAATTATGAGTTTGTTGTCAAGCTCATCTGAATTGATTACATATCTGCTCTAATTTCGGGTGCCATTTCTATCACCATGCCTCGCCAGAAAACTTTTTGTGAAAACCTCAGGTTTTGTTTCCATATATGCACATGAGATGTAATGAATTGCTTCAGATGTATCATTAGAGATGGAAGACACCGTTTTGGTCAAGTACACTTGTATTTCTATAAACCGTGGACTATGTTCTCTCAGAAGGAACTTCATGAAGATTCCTAAGAAAGGGTACGTAACAAGGAACAGGAACTTCAGGTACGTTCATCGTTAGTTCATGCAACAAGCAACCTTTCGATAAGGCTATAGCTGTATTTCACAGTATTTGTTGACATTTTTTATTTCAGAGCGGAAATGGAATGGTGTAAGACATGCTGGAGGTCGAAGTGAAGACGTCTTAAAGTCCGCATCAACGGACAAGTCGGATGGAAAGGAGTAATTTCAAACTGTTGTTATTATTGTTTTTGATCGTTCATGTTGCACTTACTGCAATGCTGTTACTACTATTACGAAATAGATGAGATAAAGTTTGAATTTTCTATTTGCACTGGAAACTGTATGGATGCATAGTATTCCGCTGAAGTTCCTTGTTTCACTTTATCTGTTTCCTTGATTCCCTTTTTTTCCTTCTAAGTCATGTTATGATAAGAGATCATTATAAGAAATGAGAGAACCCAGATCGTTACGCAACCATGTTTATTACAAACGTGCTGCATGGCCAATCAATTATTGACGTCACTTACTGGGACTCACATATTGTTGCACTTTTGCTCTTTGTAGCTTATTTTTTTGCGTATTCTCCGCAATTCTCCTTTTTCTATCTGGCCATGAGCAAAAAAAAAGAGCCAAAGATAATTTGAACAGCGCCAAGCCCAACTTTAATCATATCTGTGTTATTTGAACACCCTGCGGCAGACAAACGCGCTCGCATGATGAATTCTCGAGTAATTCAACAAAGTACCGATTGTTTTGAGCGTCATTTTGTCACTCATTTACCCACTTCACATGTGAATTCAGAGAAAACCTAAATTTTCTTATTGCGTTGAAGATACTTCCGCTTCTGTCACTTCACCTTAACTTTCGTTATCATGAATTAACCGTTTTTTGTTCGTACACGAGGTAATGCTAACGACTGTGTTCGAGTCCTATCATAGTTTCTGTACTGAAGCGATTTTTCATGTTTCATTACCCTTTCCATGATTTTACAAAGCAGTTTTCTTTTTTTTTCATTTTAATCTTAAGGCGCTCGGGTGTGGTTGTGCTTCTTCGCCGCAGTTATTGTACTGATTTGTTTTTAACGCTTATCAAATCTGTCCCTATAAGGTAGTTCCTATGACTTATCTGAACTTTCCATAACATTGCCGTAGAGTATGGTGCAGTGTGATTTCATTCATAACGATCAGCATAATAAGCATTGTTTGTGAGAAAACTGCTCAGGTTTTCGCATATGTTATACTTTTTTTCCTTTTCTAGTCTCCCTATATCTAATCACCAAGGCCTCTAATCCTCTATTTGTTATCCGCTTTGCTAATATCTGCATTTGTGGCTTTTCTTCTCCATTTATTCTTCATATGCAATCCACCTATCGTTTCCTCTTCCGTCCGTATTACATCATTCCAATCGCCGGGAGGCATAGAAATCCTTATATGTCATTAAGATTCAGAGAAGACATGCTAGTTCTCTTTACCAATCTTTTGTGTTTCCTACCCTATCTTACTGCTCACAAGAAAGTGCTTGAGAGATTGTTGTTCTACAGGGTTTTATTGACGTTTTCCATGTGGGAACAGCTTCCTGCAGTCATGAGCTTCGCTCTCTGCATTGTTCCTTCTCATTACTTTGAAATTGACTAGAGAACATTGGTATTGCCAATTTAATATTAGTTTCAGGATAAGTTATGAAATTTCCATACTTCCATGATATGTTGTTTACATTTTATCGAATTCAATTCAGCTTATTATCTTTTTTTTTCAAAAATACTCTTATCACTTGTAAATCTAACAAACAGGTCCATTCAAAACCGCAACATCAAATGAAGAAAGAGAAGGATAAGTTCATCATCGATAGTTTCCATTAAAAGGTTTTTTAAAGGTCAACAATGAGATTATTCCAATGTCGCATTCGAAATCTCTCATTTTCTCTGAGATTCTCTCTTTTTTCTTTCTTTTACATATGTTCTCGTCATTGATTCGTTATTAATTTAACATTTAGTTCGCATTTCAACTCTACTCATCATCAGTTTTCAGTGTTCCTATTCGATGGTTGTCTAAAAGAATGAAAAGACGGAAATCCAACTTATTTTCTGCTTTCACGAGGTAATCGAATGGCACCAACTCTTATGAATACTTTTCTATTTCAGCATGACCTGCAGCGATGTTTTGGTCGTTCTATTCTTAATAATATCATTTTCCCCTGTACGTTCACAGATTTGCCAACCTCGATTTCATCAATATATTTCAGACTGTTAGCACATTTGAAGAGTTTCGTTGCGGTACTACAGATATTCGAAACTCTCCCAAACATCGACTGCATAATCTCAATAAATTCGGTTTGGATGCTTTCGTGTTCGTTTTCTTCTTCCAAAATTCTTGTTGATAGAAATTGTTTTTCAGAAACTGTACTGTTCTCGAGGGAAGTTTCCTCATGTCCATGGTTCTCGAGAATACGAGCGACATAGGAGAATGGCCAAGATACGAGAAGCTGCGAGAAATCACTGGTTCTCTGCTCATTTTCCAAGTCAAGTAAGTAAAGAAGGTAATTATGCGTTTCTGACTCTTGATCGTTCAGGGGACTCAAGACGTTACGTTGGATCTTTCCTAATTTGAGAATCATCGGAGGTCAATCTATGATACAGCACTATTCCCTCATTATATATCAGAATGAAGACATTGAAGAGGTTTCTGATTCTTATTATGACAAACTCATTGGGAATTCATTTTGTTCAGATAGGATTGGATGAGCTTCGCATTGTTCGAAACGGTGGTGTGAGAATAGCAGATAATCCAAAGTAAGACTTCATTTCTGAAAAGATTCTGTAAAATTGATATTATTTTGACATATTCGGGGATTAAAAACATATATTATAGATTGTGTAATGCTAAGTCTATTGATTGGAGACGTATTCAAGCAGGGCCCATTAATGATTTACTCGTTGATGACTCAACAATGGAAGTTGGTGTGGGAGAAGGAAAAATAGGTTTAAAAGAAACTCTCTCTTCATTTCTGATATCAAAACATGTTTAAGCTCCGTGTGAACCAACTTGTACACACCCCAAGTATCCGGATAAATGTCATTTCTTAAATCACCCGTCACGACCAATGGCATGCTTCGGAAAAAAAGCCTGCCAGCTATGTAAACTTAATCTGCATCAGCCTTTTGATAAAAACATATTTTTCAAGATTGTGAGCATGATAGAATTGAAACTGCTAACGGTACTTCATTGGGACCAGGATGTGTGGACGGAACAAATGAGAAATGTCACGAAGAGTGTGTCGCAGGATGCACAAAAGCTAATGATCCTGGCGCTTGTTATGGATGTGCTCATATTTCTCACGCAGTTTGTAAAATTTTGCTCAGATTAGCACAAACTTCTATTTAAGGGTAAATGTGTGAGAAGTTGTCCGAAAAATTTATTCTCATACATGGACCGCAGATGTATATCTCGCAAAACTTGTGAAATGTGAGTATCAATGAGGCTATGTTGGCAGGTGTCGATTTTCAGGTTGAACCCGAGATCATCTCAAGGAAAGATTGAATATTATAAAGCAACAAGTGGGAAATGTGACATTCGTTGTCCAGAGGGATATGAAGAAGGTAAATCTTAAAAGTTTCGTTGCCTCTGAAAGACTAATGTATCGTCACATGGTGTCGGCTATAGGCGAATTTTTCTTCATCGGCAGGTATTGAACCTCTAACTGTTTTACGGACTTGCGCGTTTTTGCGCTCCCCCATCAGCGCTATCGGTGCTGATGGTTACAAATTGAATAAGACTCACCATGGCCATTAGATCTTTGAAATTAATGTGATCTTTATTCATTTGATAATTTTTTTATAGAACCAGAGAACAGACACAAGTGTCGACTATGTGCTGGCGAATGCCATCGCATTTGTGGAGGAAACGGCACAATAGATAGTTTATCAAAGGTAGCTAATATCATCTGAGAACAGCATATACGATACTTATAGGCCAAATTGTTTGCTGGCTGCAGTATCATAGATGGATATTTGGAAATTGAGCTTAGAACTGGTATGGAGTTTGTTCCAGCTGAAGAACTGACGAAATGCTTCCAAAGTATTCAAGTGATTCAAGGGTACTCAAAGTTCAGTTTGAGTTGATACTTGTAGCATTACCTTTCAGATATCTCCTAATTCGGCATTCTCCTGTTTTCGTTAATTTGAACATGTTCAAGAACTTGACCACAATAACAGGATCGTTCCTATATCGAGAAAAGTGCAGTGGTTAAGGAGATACTTCTGTCAACTCGATCATTTCAGATATGCTCTGGCTGTGTTTGAAAATCCTAACTTGGCAAAACTTTTTGCTTCTGAAAAGAATTTAACCATAGAAAGAGGATATTTGCAGGCAAAACTTATTCAATCTGTGCTCCGATACGAAATTCTTTTTTTAGTTTCATAATAATCGAATGCTGTGTTTCCGCCATATTACTGAGTTAATGGAACGAATGAATAGAATTAAGGAAATGGATGAGAGTGATCAGAGCAAAACTAGTAATGGTGATAAAGCAATATGTGAGTATCTGGGTTAGTACTATCTTACATTGTTTCTTAATTAAGGTGATGAATCTTCCTTCGATGTCTATGTGGACAGCGTAAGCTACAACTCTTTCGGGCTGAAATGGCGCCCATATAACACCTTCGACATAGACTTTAGAAAGTTTTTAGGATATGAGGTCTGTTGGATTAGGGAAATGTTGTCTCATTGTATAGTGTTAGATTCTGTATAAGGAAGTCACAAGCAATAATACAGCTATAACTGTTGATGACGATAGATCAGCTTGTTCGGATAGTTGGATGAGATATTTCCAAGAAGTGAGGATTTCTATTGTTTCTTGCATATGAGTGTTTTTGTTCAGGTGACGAGTGTTGTTTCTCCTGACGGGTATGTACTCTCCGCTACTTCTGATAGGAAAGATTCTCTGACACAATCGGATGTTAGTGCGCTACTGAATGGTAAGGTTTATCATCTCAATCTTCCTCATTTTCTTGTTTAGATTATGCTAATGGCACTCAGGATAGTGATTATAATGGGCCACATGTTGATGTTCTTATCACAGCAGATGTTAAGCCAGATACAACGTAAGATACACGTCTTTGAGGAAAATCTCAACATGTTTTGAATTCTTGCAGCTATGCTTTTTATGTCACAACTGTTTTGGTGAGACATATTGGAGCTCGAAACGCAGTTTCACCTCTTGGATTTGTGAGGACTACGTTTGGAATTCCGGACCCCCCACAGATCATAAAGGCAGAAGCTCTAGGAACAGACAGTATTTCTATCGAATGGTCTCCCCCTCGGAAGCCTAACGGACAAGTCACTCACTATACTATAAACTATCGTCCTATCGATGTCAATTTGGAGAAGAAAGCGTCTGTGGTATGTTCCAACGAGAACGTGAAAGGTATACTTGTTTTTTTTTAATGTTTTTACTGATTGAAATTGTTAAGATCTGTCCGATGATCGGAGTTTCTCACGAGATTCTTCCTATCATGTCAGTTACGGTTTTGGAACAAGTTTAGTGTCCACGACTGCAGCTCCTGAGACATGTGCCGCAAAGAACTGCTGCCCCTGCCAGGTTTACTATCTCTTCGATATTGTTACTGATCGTTACATCTTTTAGACTGATGTTCTCAGTAAAATCAATGAGCTTGAAAATAACTTGGAGTTCGAAAACTCCATGCAGAACATCATGTTCGTTCAGAGGTGAGTGCAAAACGTTTTCTAATTCTCCAAATTTCTATAATCGATGCTTTTTGCTCGCTTATGCTTTTTAGCTAATTATTCTGCTTTATTCTTCGATTTTTTGGTTTTTGAGTTTGGTTTTAATCACTTTAGCTGTCATCATCATTTTGATCCCCTTCGTTGTGATAGTCAAAATAGCCAAAAAGGCGACAGCATGGACGACGAGCTATTAGAAAAAAGGAAACGTGATGTTGAGTGGGAAGTTCGACGAAAAGCAATTTATTCTACGAATCACATAGTTCGGAACACCCTAATGGCTAAAGACATGTAGGATATGTTCGATGGAGTATTGTGGCTTCTATAATATAATTTCCTTAATCTATTAACTTCTTAGTGTATTTATTTACGGAATGTTAGACGATAGATCTCACTTTCTATGTGGTTGTACGCACTGCAAACATGATACCCTAATCCCTGTATATACGTGATTCATCTCATTGTAGGGATGGAGCTCAAGAAGAGCCTGATGATTCCAAGAGAATGAAAAGATCTATCAGCACAAATCTTGGTTCTGACAAGGATAATCTTGATGAAAGACGGCGACGTATAGAAAGTTACAATGAGGCATGAAACTTTCGTAATACTTCTGATAGTTGGAAATTTAGAAAATTGAACAATATGAATCGTTGAGTATGCCAAACAGAATTAATGTCACTGGAAACAAAGTGATATTGAGGAACTTGAAGCATTACACCGAATATTTTGTGAGTTTTCGAGGCTCTTCGCATTTTATTTCTTGTTCAGGTTTCCATAGTTGCTTGTCAAAACGTCTCCGTTCCTGACTCGCATTGCTCCCATCGCAAGGCCTGGCATTATATCAGAACGGATAAAATACGTAAGGAATTTCGATATGTTGGCAATCACAGTATCATTCATGATTTCAGCTGATGCCGATGTCATAGATAATTCAACTATTAATGTTGAGTTTGTGGGTAATAGTACCAACGATTTTGTGGTTAATTGGAAGCCTCCCAAATACCCCAATGGAGCTATTCTTGCTTACAAAGTCCGAGTCACTAACTTGGCGCAGCAAGCTGTGAGTTTTCGTTGAAAATTATAATAAATATCTTTCCATTAAGACTCCAATTGAGCAATGTAATAGTAGTTTGGAACTCCCAAATCCCGAAAAAGATGGTGTGCCATTCAACGGTTTAGCCGATGGTCATTATCGGTAAGCTTTTCTTTATCGTTCTTGCATTTTTATTATCTGTTCACAGAGTCGAGATTCGTACTGTTTCTGAGCTTGGTATATCCGCCGCAGCCGTTAGATCTGAACCCGTGATCGTAGAGAGGCCAAGCTTCTGGACAGTTAGAGTACGTTTCTGCATCTTCTTTCTGAATATAGAATCTATTGCAGAGAATCATATATGTCATCATATGTATAGCATTCTTCTTGAGTTTCCTCGCAGCATGTGCCTACTTCTGTATGAGGAAGTATTATGGAGAGAAGGTATCGCAAACATTTTGAACTTCTCTATTTTTCTGTTTAGGTCAAAGAGTACGCTACTCAATTGATATCGGCAAATCCAGAGTATCTCTCTCAAAACGATGTTTATAAGGCAGATCATTGGGAATTACAAAGAGAACGTCTTCAAATCTACGGAGAGATTGGTAGAGGAACATTCGGAAAGGTATGTCATCGCTAAGCGCAAGCAGCTTCATCTATGTATTTAGGTGTACCGAGGAAGAGGCCTGGATGTCGTCTCTGTTTGTGGAGAAACTTTCGGAGAGTGTGCTATCAAAACTGTTGCTGAAAATGCCTGTAGCGCTGAAAGGCTTCATTTCCTTTTAGGTGAGTGTTCAAACCAGCCAGTTTATGCTTCGATTCTGTTTTAGAAGCTTCCATTATGAAACAGTTCAATGCAAGTTACATTGTAAAGCTTTATGGAGTTGTATCTGATGGACAACCTGTCTTGGTTGTGATGGAAATGATGGAAAAAGTATGGAAATCTTTATCGTTTGTAACTTATTATGTTATATTAGGGCAACTTGCGAGACTATCTACGATCAAGAAGACCCGGCGACGAAGCCAATATTGATAACTTACCTGTACCTACTGAAGATGAATACTATGAGTGGGCTGCTCAAATTGCTGATGGAATGGCATACTTAGAATCTATTAGATTCTGTCACAGAGATTTAGCTGCTCGTAATTGCATGGTGATTACAAACTATTAATAGTTTTCTATTTTGAACTATGATTTCAGGTTCATAGTGATCTCACAGTGAAAATTGGAGACTTCGGTATGGCTCGTGATTTGTATTATCACGAATACTACAAGCCCACTGGCAAGAGATTAATGCCAGTTAGATGGATGGCTCCAGAATCCCTCAAGGACGGAAAGTTCGATACAAAGAGTGATGTTTGGTCAGTGAATAAGGTTTCATGAACTCTGTAATCTCTGTCTGCTTCTAGGTCTTATGGAATTGTTCTCTATGAGATGATCACCCTTGGACAGCAGCCCTACCAAGGCCTTGGAAACCATGAAGTATACTTTATAAGTCTTCAATGTTTACATTGAACTTTCTTGTAGGTGTTATCGTTCATAGGAATGTCAAGACAAGTAATGGATGCACCGAAAGACTGTCCAGTTTTCTGGTATGAAATTTGAGAAAAAACTGGTATAATGTTCTTAAACTCAGGTATAAGTTGATGCTCGAATGCTGGAAGTACAGCCCTCGAGAGAGACCTAGTTTCCATCAAATAGTACGCCATTTATCCGATCGCGTAAGCGATAAGTTCCTTCAGGTAGCTTTTCATTGCACTATCGTTCTAATTTTAAATTCAGGAATCTTATGTTGAAAATTTTGCTACCGAGTTCAGTGATGGACCTATCCTAGGGTTGGAGTCAGGTGACGATCAGTGTTTGGGTTCAGGAGATGAGAACTGCTGCAATCCACTGGCCGACATGGTATAGCGTGATGACAGTCAAAGGGTAAATAAGTTTTTAGGAAATGGATCGGCTAACTCCCCCGGCTCCCAACAAACGATCCACCACTGCTGACTTTGCATGGGGAGAAGATGTTGGGTTGGCTTCAAATCCCGACGTTGCAGAAGACGAAGTGTGAGCCGGTCCTCCACTCACTGTATCATTCGGTTATCTTTCAATATCTATTTTGAAGTATGTCTTCATAGCGGGTCATTTCTTGCATATTCTCTTGCAGCCTACCACTCCAAAGAATTATATTATCGTATATCATTCAAGAAATTCCAAATATACCCTCAAAGGTTTATTGTTTTTAATAATACGCGTTATTATGATTGTTCATGTTAATGACTTATCTGAGCCTCTATACTGTTTCTTTGTTATTTCGATATTTCACTCCACATGTTCAAGATTCCTATAACAGCGCTTATTCGTTACTTAGTGAACGCAATTTGTTGAATATACCAGTTTGTTGCTTGTTCATATTTATCTTGTTTTTTCCAAATGTTTATCTCCAAATATCACAGGCCATCATGACATATTATTCGATTACTGTGATACACGTGTATTCAACAAGTGTTCGTATCATCATTTCCTCCAATGTCAATAAGCTCGCTCTTGCATGATCTTTTACGCGTATTCGACCCAACGATTCCGATATCTCTAATAATGGCCATATATTAATAGCTTCTCTCTGATCTTAACTAGACCGCCAAAACAGAGTGCTGTATATTTTTATATTAATTATATCATTTATATCCTTAAAGCATCTCCTTTCATAGCTCAAAGCTATTTTGGAATGATCGGGGTATGTTCTTTGCAGCTTTATCTCCTTCCGATATCCAAAGATATCATTTTATCTTTAATTTCATTCCTTTGTAGTTGTGTAGCTTACCGACTCTCACCGTCGAGCACTATACGAGCAGCACTCTGATGTTTGCCGATTAGTTGTTTCTTCATTCCCACATATTCTTTCAATTGTTCGATCCAAGATACTTTAGAGATGTTGTTTAATAATGAATAATATGCTATTGCTCTTGAAAATGTTTTAAATGAACAATGAGAACAGCTCTCTCATCCTCGATCATCATGAGTTCGTCATGTACGATTGACAATCGTTAGATGGGCCCAACAGTTGAGGACCTCATGAGCTAAAGCAATCATTTATTTACGGACTGACAAAATAAAGGGGAAACGAAAAGCAACTGAAAAACGTACACAAATGTACAGAATTGTTGAACATTAATGCTAAAATGGGAAGAACATACTTCATTTGAAATAAGAAAGGGTCAGCAACTGAATGCCACATGAATTAGGGTAAACTTCTTACAGAAAACTTCGTTGGGAATATATTCGGTATAGGGTATAGAATACATAACGACAAACATACAACGAACTTCAGAGAAGTCCGAACAGTGGATAAACAGGAAATGTTGGAAGTTAACACATCACTTATTGCAGAAATGTTGAAAACGGGGAGGGAGACGAGATTATGTCTTAGGACAAATTAAAAATTGCCTACAAATCTAAGTATTAACAACTAGATCGCAATAAGTTGTGATGCCATACAATACAAAAAAAAAGAAATAACTTGGAGCAAAGCAGTTGAACTACGTTTAATTAAAGAGTTCTTGAATGTTTTTTGAGAACAGAGTTTACATCAAGCATTTGAAAGATATTCTCAACGACGACAGCAAATGCATCTAATGAGAGACAAGATGAAGCTAGCGATGGTGATAACGGCGATGACAGCCAAAATAACGATCACCCATGTCTAGAATAACACAATTAACTTTGTAAAAACTAAATATCTTACTTGAAGGTTGAAGCAGCAGTCTTTGTTCAAGTCTCCACAGCACTTGTAGTAGTGGAAGATAGAGCTTCCAGGGCATTTGTTTCCAACAACTGGAAGAGGGCAGAAAAGATCACCATCCTGAAAAATAGAAAGTTGTAATAAACGATGAGCACATAGAAGGGCAACCGATTCCTTCAACTCTGCACTATCAAATGACTTTTGCTCACGTTTAATTCACGTAATCTGGTTTTCTTCGAAATATGCTAATTGAGTTTCAGAGATTTCAGCTTACTAACTATATCTAACCACAAAACCTGTTAGACTTGTAGCCAACAGATGGATGGAACCGAAAAGGATCATGTGATCAGCTGTTTTCAAGTTGGGAAAAATTCTACTTATCTCCAAGTTTATTTTTTTCTTTCATGTCATATTCAGAGTGCCAGGCCTTGAATTAGTTTACCTTGGTGGTTGTGACCTCGTTGACAGCATTCTTCACATCCTTCTCAACATCGGCAAAAGCAAGCGTGGCAAGAGCCAAGACGCAAACGTAGGCGAACATTATGAGCTTTCTGAAAAAGGCAAAAGTGAAGGGTTTGGTTGAAACGCGTAAACGATTGAAGTGTTCAAGAATAAGAAAGAATGGCATATGAAGAACGATTTGAAGAGGGAGGAGAAGAAAAAATAACAACAAAGGTACTTTCAAAATAGATTAAGCATTAAAATAGCAGATTAAATAAAGATTCAACAACACAGTGGTTGAATCAACAGTCAAGGAAAAAAATATTTAGGCGAAGTATGAGAGGTACGCAATGAGTCATAAGTTTCCGCATGATTGGACGAAGAAGCATCCGCCCATTTCATCGTCTTCTTAACGAATCATGTAAGAACATATGATTTCGGAAATACTCGAAGTAGATGGTGAAAGGCAAACTTCCAAAGTTGTCAGTTCCACACCAGAAACGCAGTTTACCACATCAAGACGAGAATATTGGAAAGATTGAAGAAAAATGACAGAAAGACGGCAATAAGAAAGATGAAAAATTTTGAAGGGCAATGTCAATTGTCAATAGATCGCTGCCAGTGATAGCGGGAAGCCGATGATGTCCAACAGAGGATGAAAGAAATTCTGAAGATACTGCTCGAAAAACAAAGTGGTGAAAAATGTGAAACACGGAAGAACAAATGAGGAGACGAATTGAAAGCTAAAATATGGAAGCTTTAAGCAGAGAAATTGAGGAAAAGATAGAAAAGATTTAGTTTGCGACTAACATGCTTCTTCTCACTCACATGCAGCTATCGCATTAAACAGATGAAAATGTGGTTGGATTTCCGACTAAGAGAAGAAAGTACTGATGAGCAAAAAACTTGAAAAAATCAGATGAAAAGAGAAAACGCGAGAGACGACGTTAACAGAATGAGGAAAGAATAAATCTTAAATATTGTAATGAATAACTTTAAAGGTCAATTAATGGGCGACAGCAACAGGAAATTCGGGGAGAATCATGTTTTGCTTCCAGTTTATTGGCCTTTTTTTGCGGAAACAATGTCGATTCAGAAGGTTTCTATCTCTACACGATATGATTCACCGCTTAAGGAAGGTACGAGTCACGCAATGAGAGGATGATGAGGAGAATAATGATGAGTTGAGTCAGCAGTTCTTCAGATATGTATAGTATAACATGTATATGGGCATACACAATCAATATAATAATGGAAGGATAAGCTGCTTTTGCTATCCCACCTGCTAATCTTAGGTCAGAGAAAGAACGAAATCTCCTAGAGGTCAGGGCAGTTGTCAAGCTGCTCACAACAACAAACGCCTATATTCATTTTTTAAATAGTGGGCTAGAGAGGAATAGATCACAAATCATGCTGCTTCTGCCAAAAATTCCGAAAATGTTTAGAGACAAACTCGCAAAAAAGAATGAATACGAAGGAAAGCCCATTTGACAAGTTTAAGATGGAATAGTCTTTAAGTGCTTCACCATCCCAATAGAAGAAGTGGTTAAAACCATCGGGGATGTCTTAATGAGCACCGAACTGAATGGCTGCCAGACTCTTCAATCTCACTGATATAAATCCGCTATAAATCCGACTAAATGAAAAGGCTTACGAAATAATAACGGAAATTGAACATTAATTTGTCTCAAAATTAATAATGATGGGGATTTCGTAGTTGAGGCAACTGCACTCCGTTTACACGAAAACTGTGATCTAGGAAACCTGTACTGTTGTGCGTCACGTGCGTGAACTTATTATTTTCATGTCTGATCAGTAGAGAGGCAGTTGCATTCATGGCCTTATTATCTATTTATAGAATGTTGAAAATGAAAAAACCTCGCAAAACAACACAGCTATAGAGTCGGAATGAAATTTAAACATTGACTACATTCTGATTCAATAGAAAGGAAACTTGTAATCTCTACTGCATAGCAATCCACATGAACTTTTGTGAAATGCTGGCAAGAAAATTGGGCAACGAGAACATGAAGCAATCCAGGAGATAGAAGAGCATAGGGAGATTTCTCAATGAATGAAAAGATAAGATAAAAGAAAGTCGATAATGTAGGAAAAACGAAGAGCACATTTGTGTTTCATTCGCGTTGTAAAGCGCGAGAGAAAGATACTAGGAGGTAAAAACTAAAAATCAGGATGCAACATGAAGGATTCAAGAGTTCGCCGATGTCTGTTATGAATAATAATTTAAACTTTTGAGAGCCAATAGTTGAGAAACATCCTCATTGTTAAAAGTTAAAAGAACCAATTGAAGACGGTCGATAGAATGAAAAAGAGGAAACAATATGTTATAGGGAAGGTTAGCAAAAACCAGGCTGGACTATTCAGTCCTCTAACTGTCCGAATGACCAAATTGGAAATTCTCAGCATCTTATTTCTCAAGCAATTGTAAAGCGCAAGAGGAGGAAAAGACAACTATCCAGATTCTTCTATCTTTCCTCTCTATTTCACTCTCTTTGGAATCTTTGTGTTCATGTCCAATTGAGAAGACTATTCAATTAGAATCAACCAGCTTAGATTCTTTCTTTATGATGGTGATTGAGGTAGCTAACAAGACCATAGAATAGTAGGCTGGCTAGAGAGAAGAAGTTCCAAAAAAGGAAACCATCAATGTTGACAACAGGAGCAACATCTTGTTTGAAGTTCAATTTTGAACTGTGGAAAGACTTGTTGACCAATTATGTCATCAGTCATCAGTTCTCATGATGTAATTAGGAATTCGAATAAGAATGTATGAAAAAGTCTGATGAGATTGATTGATTTGAATAAAAAGTTATCAGACGATAAGAGAAACCAACCGAGATTCAACTAGTACGATGAAGAATTGTAGACACAGATGAAAAAAGCGAGGTGATTCGTGAAATAAAATCGATTTAAGAAAAGCAATAAAGAAGAAGAAATGAAACAACATAAAAGTATTCACGAGTCGTCAAAAAATCCTTGGATGGGACAATAATGAAACGCTTCTTTACAGTTCTCTGTCGATAGCGTGACGTCCCTAGAAGGAGTATACATTGAACAGACGGACAGAGAGATTAGAAGTGAAGAAAGTCCGTTAGTGGAGGAGGACAATGGTTGTCCGGTTGAGGTACAACAACGCCAGGTAAATACTCCTCTTTCTCTCATCGGCGAAAGTATTGAACAAAACGTTAGCGGATAGCTATAAGGGGAGAAAGATGGAGATAATACTTTGGTAATGACCGGAAAGTAAGAAGAAAAGGAATCTGATAAAAAGAGAAATTTCCTTTTTCATTGGCTATTACTGAGCCGTGAAAAAGATTAATAGCTTGTTGAACACCACCAAAAATGTCAATAGCTATGAGGTAGTGGGGGCGAGTAAGGAGAGAGAAATAGAAATAGAGAGCAAGAGGAACACATATAAGGCATGAGTAAATTGTTTTTGTGTGCCATGTTTGATCCCAAACTGAGTCATATCTGAAAGGACAACAGTCTCTCTTTAGAGCCTTCCATTAGCCTTTGGCTAAGTCTGAACTTTCAACAGAGCAAATCATACATCAATTGTTTGTATAATTATGGAAATAAATGAAATATTAAAGAAAATAAATTTGCCTATTGATGTGAAAGATGGAAAGCAAACACAACACTCTAAAGATGACCATTTGGGAATTCAACGATTGCATGTCATAATTAATGTTGAGTCGAATGAAACATCAAAAAGCATGTGACAAGCTAGACAAACCATATTTGGGTTTTTTGGTGTATCTTCTCTCCAACGTCAAATTTGAAAACGAAATGATGATAGATCGTCGTCACTACAAGCTATTTCATTTGTCTTCTTTCAAGATTTCGCTACATCCTCCCCATTTTTCAAAAATTCATTCAAAACATTGACCTAATTGTTCTAATTATCCTACTTCGTCTTTTGAAATAAAAAAACAGAAAATCCTATGTATACACTGAGAAGTGAAGCAGAAATTGCAGTCGAGATATTGGAAATAGGACAGCGCTGTTTATCACAAGCACATAGAGCCATGAAGCCAAATTTGGTTAAAGTGAACGATGAAAACAGCAAAGTAAGAATATTAACTGTTTAAAGAGAGAAAACAACAACGAAATGGATAGTTCTACAAAGCTGCATAGAAAGTAAGAGAATGTTGAATAGAAAACATAGTCTACGTCTACCATGTGCTAACCTTCAATTCGTGATTATTACGAAAGAATAGAGAACATGTAGATGGAAATAGACAGACAGTTTTCAAATATTCAGATCGTTACTGAGGACATTTTTCATTGAATGTAGAGAAAAGCGAAAGTTGTGGAAACAAAGAACTCAAAAACAAAGGAAGTATGTGAAAAACCTTCTTTAACTCATTCACCATTCTTCAAAACACATGGAATTGTGAGGTATTATATTGATAAGATAGCTTCATATCGAACGGAACAAACAAATAAAGGGAGCAATTGTTAATTTTGCTGGTTGAAAGCCCAATCTAGGAAAATATGAGAAGAATATTACCAAAGCATTCATCGATGGTCGAAAAAAAAGGAGAATGCTCGTAATTCAGCCAGTCTCTCTCTCACCAACGGAAATAGATTATTTAGAACACATGACTTATCACTAGTGTGAAGCGGATGTTGAAGAAGCAGAGAGAATGAGGGATCATAGACAATTGAGATGCATATGCTCTTATACGGCTTCTGCCTTTTCATAACAAACAGCCTTTCCATTTCAAACTCGTTTGGATGGCTATAGTAAAACAGCCATAATAATCATACCATGAGATTATCATTAAATTTTCGAAAAGTAATTTATGCATATTACGAAATCTAATGGCAGCCTACATGTCCAAAGGATAGAACGATAGTCCAACTAAACGCATAAATGATTTTTTCACCCGCCATAATATAGGGTAAACAAGGAAATATTAATAAGTGAAACAGCCAAGCAAATGGAATTCCAAAAGTGAAAAATCAGTTCTTAGAAGGGCAGCAAAAACGTTCGAACAATTGAACAGGACTCTCAAGCCATCATTGTTGCTTCACATGCGAATGTACCGGACGTGTTGTTCTCCATACTAACGCTTAGTTTTAACGAGACATGAAAGAGCACAGACCGAGTGAAATTCGGTCATCTAAGAGCAGAATATCTTGAAAAGAAAAAAGCGTTTTTCGAAAGAAATGCAGTATATATGAACAGAAGCATTGCCAGAATAGAATGGCGAAAGAGAAATTAAACCACTAAATGATATAATACGCTTTGCGCGATGAGTAATAGATGGAGCATTGCTACGAATGAGAAAGAAATTCCTCTTCATCCCGAACCGAAAACTCGAAATTGGCCAAACAAAGCTTTAGGGAACAAACAGTAATCATTTAATAGTAAACAATACGAGAAAATCAATATAGTTAAAGTTGAGCAGCAACGTGTAAAGAAAATAAAAAAACGCAACCGTCAGCTATGTGCACACAATGTCGAATGATTTGAATTTGAGCGCGCGCGTACGTGAAACTTATGAGATAATTTGAATAAGCATATAACTGCGTAGTCAGCTACGAGATGGCGCTGTCTTGGCATTTTCATATAAATTTAGAAGCGAATTAGTAGATTAATTCTATTTGTATAGATATATAAAGAGTGATCAAATGTTATTCAGTAGGAGAAATCTAGGGGAGATTCAAATAGATGGCGAAATAACAAAAATTGACAAAGGTAAAAGGATGGGAATGAAGCGGACAACGAATAACAGAACTATCGATTACACAACAAACAACGTATTTGAGAAAATATTGTTTATTTATTTAATTGAAACATTAAGATACAAAGATGAGAATGAAGAAGATGACTAATGGATGTGTTTGTCTATGTTGCATAGTCGCTGCTGGGAGGAGCAAAGATGTGGAAGAAGGGAGGGAATGGGAAGAAGGAGTGCACGGTGATGATAATCAAAATATGAAATTAAGCCTCGGAGGAAAAAAAGAAGACAGGAAATGGAAACCAAAATAGCAATTGCATATAATCTCAATTCTATCCAAATCTTCATCGAGCAAATCATTGGAATTGTAGAAGAAGATTAGATTTTGTAACAGAACAAATGAAATTTATTATTAATGTCATTCGAAGATATATTTCTCTGAAAGAATTGGAAGCAAAATTATTTTCTTCATCAATTTCAAAAATTTAGAGGAGTTGGTCTTTGATATGCCAAATATGAGTTCGCAACTTTATCAAAACATGGCATATACACAATCATTTTTTAGAAGCTTTTCTTTATTCTGTTTCTTGTTTGGAGCAAGAGAGTAAGAGGAAGAGAGGAAAGGAGGGAGTGAGGATAAAAGGAAAAAAAATAAGAAAAAGAGAGGGAGGAAAAAAAATCGAACAATATGGTTCAAACAAGCAAAGCGATTAATTGCAATTTCATCTCAAGTGCTTGTTTGATGTAGTCAGCATAAACTGAATTGCTTCTTAATTGAGTTTGATACAAAGAGAGACAACTATGAAGAGACAGAGAGAAATAGAAAAAAGAGAGAGAGAGAGCAAAGATTACATAATGAGTATAATTCTTTGGTTGAAACGACAAATTATATAATTATGAGAAAAATACAGGTTTCAATTTATAGTCGAGAAGCATAATACATGTCGTTCATATCTCTCTCTCTCTCCTCTTTTGTCTCTCAAAAACAATGTAAAGAGCTGTTATGATAGAAATGATATGCAACTAGCAAGATGGTAGAAGTAAATGAAAACAATTTCTCATCATATCTATGTAGATGCTCTTTTTCTCATTTTTTGGTTGTAAATGGGCTTCTAATATTGACGTCAAGGACAATAGCTGACGTCAATCGTTTCACACATATCGTGAGACTCTACGCTAATTATAATAAACTGATTCATTTCCTTTTCTGACTTTTACCAAAATTATATTTCCACGATATGGAGATTGTTTCCCAGAAACTCTCTACAACGTTCTTGTCTACAACAATGGAACTACACCTTTCATTATTTATAATGTATTAGAATACGTGAATGGTGTGCTGAAGCTCAGCATGAGTACGTTAGAAGCCATTTCGAAATTCGCAAACGCATAGACCGGTTGTCTTCAAACATATGTATATGTTAGTCTATTTTCAAAATAAAATGAGAATGAGCTCGACGATTTCATGTTATATCGTATCAACTTTCTAGGATTCATAGTCCAACATATAATAATGGAGACAATCGACAAGACAACAAATCAAATTATTGGGGAGATTTTCGAAAATTTGAAATTTTGAATTTTAAGCCAATAAATAAGCCACAAATTGGCATGATATCGACTTTTTCTGTGCACAAAGCAATTCTTCTAATCTGAGTCTGTCACGAGGCGACTTCATCGAAGCGGATATGTGGCGTGGCAGTTCCGATGTCGCTTTAAATGTTTCACAAAATAGAAAAAAAAAATAAAAGAAATTTCAAAACAATTTAGATGCTGAACTATGGCCCCACGAGGAGGTTTACCTCCATTCAAATTAGAAGTTATGAATAATATATTTCAAACAATATGCTAACAATTTGTACTTTGAATATTCAATTTAAAAAATGTGCAAAAATAGATGAAAACTGGGATCCGAGAAAAACTTTATCGAAATAATCTTGAGAGTGAGCTGAATGGTGGCGTTACTATGGTTACGTCTCACATGCTCAGACAATGTTTTGAAGTTAGATGGAAGGGATTAGGTTGAGGTTGAAAGCAGAATGATGCTGAATGCAGTAAATGCATAAAGCTGAAGAGAGAGAAATGCTCAAGTAAATGAAAGACAAAATGCTTCAAAGCGGTCTATGTATGTATGTGATCGACGAAAATATTAAAAGTTGTTGAGTTTACACAGTCAGGTAAGCCTGCATGCAATTACTTTCAGCTTCCAGCCTCAATCTAATTCAAAATATTTTTGTAACCGAAATGTTTTGATGGACTGTGGAAAGCAGAGAAACTTTCCATTTACATTATCATTGTACAATTTGCATGAGAGAGAGAGAAAGATTGAAAAACCTTTATTTGCATACTAGATCATATCAGATGAAATACTTTTCCAAAACGAGCTTGAACAGCCTTAAGCTCTGTAGGTGTTAGAGTCATATGAATCAATTGCTTGATAGCCGACACATATTCAGTAGTAAACACGCTGAGCATTGTTTCATAAGCAGTTTCCGGTGTGTCGCTGTTCATTCGAATCTGTTAACATGGAAATAATCAATACGTATCTATTTCAGAGCAAACGTCCAGAATCTCATTTAGATTGTTTTGTGCAGTGAAGACCGGTTGTATGGATATCTCTATCAGTCTGATCGTGATGTATTAAACTACAAACCTTAGCTATTGCTGGCTCAACAGCATAAATAACTATTTTTTTGATTCGTTGAAAGACGACGGCTGATCCTTTATTGCCCAAATCTTCCGATAATAGGTCATATGCCGATGAGAGCTCAGTCAACTGGTCATCGGTTAGTGAGCTTCGGCCAAAATCTTCCAAATCTGAATGAAAGATCATTGTGTTAACTGCAACAAAACTTCATTTTACGTGATAAAATCTCGTTTGACTTGCGACCACGATGAATATCAAAAGCTGTTATGTCAATGGCCTGAATATGGGTTGATGAGACGATGAAGTGAAAGTACAAATACTACAAACCTTTGAGACTTGTTGTGGAGTAAAGAACGTTGTTATATAATCATGAAAATGCTTCAAGAGTTGCAGCTTAGCTCCGCTTGGAACAGTGAACGATCCAGAAGCACTTGATACGAGAATCAAGAAAACCGATAGAAGTTTCATAACGTTTCTGGAAGAAAAGGAAAAGAAACAAATTGAAATATTGAAATGATACAAATAAAGAAGAAAATTTTGTGAGTGAAATACCGGAAATGTGGTTGTCATCTTCTGCCTTATAAGGTTTCCATCAAAAGGCTGCTCATCCAAGCGTAGCAGGTCGAAGTCGTTCAGCTCATCATTCGATTGTGATCATCTGTCGCCAAACAAATCTTCAGAATTGTCGATACTTTTCTTTTTTTTTTTGAAAGAAGAAAAGAACTTTTACTTCAAAGAAGTGTAAGTTGAAAAGATAGATTATGTGAGTATTTTCAAAAAAATTGATAAACAAGCTTAATTCCATGAATGACTGGAAGGTCACATCTCTTCAACTGGTAGCCATCCAAGTGTTTCTTGTCAACTATCTAACCGGGGGTCTGTGTTGAGATGTTAAATACGAGGAAAAGAGGGACTCTACCTCTCAACCTCTCTCTACCTCTCTCTCTCTCTGCTTCTCTCTTCATATCTCCTCTTCCTTCAGCTCTTCTTTCGTTTTTAAATAAAAAATCTACTTTACTCATTGCAGATTCACAAAGGCATGTGTTGTTGTGTTCTTCTCAAAAGGCAAAACAAAAAGAAAAAAAAAATTTTTTTTCCGTTTTTGTCACCAAAACGTCAAACATCAATCAGAAAATGAAATAAAACGAAAATTGAAACTTTCTGATCATAACGGTTTGTTGAAAGGAATTTGCTGAAATAAAAGATTTTGATTTTTTCATTTCACATTTTGATGTTTGTGATCAGTTATTAACCAGTTTTTTTTCTTTTTTTTTGTTTCTGCCCCATCCTACTGGAGTGGTGATGGCTTTACAAGCAAGCATGTTCGCTGATAGTTTTTTTCTGTTCATATCTCCATGTGTGTCTGTGTATGTGTGTGCGCGTGGGTCTGCTGTTGTTGATCTCTAAGTATAGGCAGAGTGCTTCATCATTACCTTCATTCTCTGTTTAGTTTTTGATTTCTTACCTTCTAACCTTCCTCTCTATTATGATGTAATGAGCTAATGGAAAACATTTAATATCTAAATTGACAAGAAAATTTATGATTACATCCATATAATCTGAACGGCGTGATAGAAAAAGACAAAGGTTGTCTTGCTCTAGAGAGGTCAGATGATCATGTGCCGCCGTTGTTCAGTCATCAGGCGGATCAACTCTATCTAACCATACCATTTTCAAATCTCTTATGTATTTATACTTCTTTTTGATATTTTTTATATATTATATACAATCAATAGCTATATATGTTCTTCACATAACTCAGCCATGTTCGGTTCGATGTCAAAGGAGACGTCTGCTCTTACCTAACCTCTATCAATCATCTCCTCTTCTTTAGATAATCTCATTTGCATATGCTTATCACGTGGATACCTCACGTAAAACAGACTTAAAATAAAGAAAACCTCCTCATTGTGTAATAGAGACTAGGCAGAGAACGGTTGTGCTCATTCTCATCGTACTCCCCCCCCCCTATCCTTCCACAGCCGCTACTTCTACTTCACCTCTACCATCTTCTCTCTACCTCTACTTTGCCTCTTCAAAAAACTTCTTTTTGTTTTTTATATTCTTGTACTTGAGGCTTTTTCTTATTTCGGACATCTTTTGTTAAAAATAATTTAAACATACATATCGTGTTAATCCAATTGTTTTATTTGCTTTTATCAAGATATTTCAAATAAGATTTTCATTTGAATCTTGTTTTCATTCGACATCTCACCTTCTCTCCCTTTCTCTCTCTATAACTTTCTCTCTCTCTCTCTCTCTCTCTCTCTCTCTCTCTCTTAATACACCATTTCTCTCTCTATCTCTCTCTCTCTCTCTCTTGCGCATCTTAAGCATTCTATATCTTAATTGAAAAATCTTTTTTCTCTTCTCTCATTTCCATTTTTGTCATTTTTCTTTTAAAAGTTCTCTGAAAAGGAGTATGATGAAGGGGAGGAGTCGAGAGATTCCTGTCACACAACCACACCGGAGAGAACGTTGTTTCTTTCCGTTACTAACATTCATTTTACAGTCAAACATGCGGAAACAAAATTCTAAACTAAAGGTAGGAATTATAATGGCGACGCCTTTAGTTCTAAGCCCACTGCTTCTAATGGGAATGGTAAATGACTTCTATCATCAGCTTATAACTTATCTGATCATCTTTTAAGGAATATCGATGTGTTTTTTGTATTTTATTAATAAGTATTTATTGGATTGCTGAAGTTGTACCAATTGGCGTATCATCGCTTCTGCCTCTTCTACTCTTTCCCATATTGGGCATTGTTTCAGCTAAGGATATAGCTGAAAACTATTTTAAGGTAACATTCATCAATCAATATCGTTCATAAATGGCTTTCTTAGGATTCGATAGTGTTGTTCATGTGCACTCTTGTATTAGCCATATCTGTTGAAGAAACAGGACTTCATCGTCGAATAGCTTTGAAGCTACTGACATCCGTGGGTTCCAGAAAGCAAACGTATGGAAAAACTGCACAAGCTTTATCATTCAAAATTTCTTTCCAGGATGTTACTAGGTTATATGTCAACAGCTGCTTTCATGTAAATCATCCAGCTTCAACATAAACATATGAAATAATATTTTTTAGATCATTTTTCGTTTCTGATACAGCAGCAACAGCTTTGATGTTGCCTATAGCTGTAGCCATTGTCACAACAATCTCACGAGTCACTGATACAGCCAAATCAACAGTTCACAGGTTCGATTGAGCAATCTATTTGAAAATATAAAATGTTCCGAACAAAAAGCTTATACAACTAGTTCATGATGAGCTTCTACAAAACAAGCCTTTGCATACACTGTTTTCAACCTCAACACGCATGTCTCTCTCTCTGTCTCTCTCTCTCTCTCTATTTCCTCTCAACCAACTTCCCTTCAAATTGAAAAAGCGATTATCATTTAATCTTATTTTCCAATGGAAGATTATGCTACTTCAAACATAAGATGATTTAGTTTTTTGTTTGATTAGGAAGTAAAATATAAAAAAGAATGTTCAAATGTCTCCTTTTTACGAAATTTCAATTGTAATTGACATTAGAAACCAGGATAAGTAAATCAATCGTGAAACTGGAAGAATTATAGTTCTAATCTCTACCGTATCCATTTCCCTCCTCTATCTTCTCTATTCTCTCTTAATAACTAACTTGTTCCAAATTATAATCCAACACGGAAATATGTAATGAGGTTCAAAACTACGTCAAACACGTGTCACGTACTGTTCATTCGGACTATAATACGTAAGCAACCGGTCAGCTATAGAACAGATTAATCGTTTACGATAGACTTTGAACTTAACACCATTCAATATACAGCTTGTTTCAGAACTATTGATCATGTCGAAGGCTCAAACAACAACAGTGACAACAAGGAGGCTTCAAACATTGATGAAAAAGAATTTTGTGATTTGGTTGAAGAGATGAACGAAGAAAACAGAGGATTTGCCAAAGTACCTTTTCAAATGTTTCTTCTTCACATTTTTCGAAACGTCATTCTTGTAGGCGATAGTGTTAGCTGCTTCTCATGGATCTCTTATTGGAGGAACGGCCATTATAACTTCAACAGGTCCAAATCTTGTTTTCCGTGAACAGCTACAGACGTGAGTAAGAGATGTCTAGACATCAATCATTCTTCGTTTCAGCTTTTACCCTCATGATGAAGTATCTGTATCATACTTACAGTGGATGACATTTGCAATGCCACCTATGTTCCTTTACCTTTTAGCTTCATTCTTAGTATTATCTGTAAATCACACATGGAGTTCATACATTCTATTCAAGCTTTACAGATTTTCTTCTTAGGACCTTCTAGTTTAATTAAATGGTTCAAAAAGCGAACTGATGAGGAAAAGCATGTCTCAGCAGTTATATCGAAGAACTTGAGCACTGCCTATCATGATTTAGGAAAAATATCGTAAGTTTGATGGGAGAGCAGGAAGTCCTTACATCCTGATTCAGATTTGCTGAAGTTTCGGTAATGGCTTGGTTTACTGTGCTCTTCTTACTTTGGGTATTCCGTAAGCCTGGTTTCATGGCTGGTTGGGGAAACCTTTTCCCCGATAATGGGTAAGTAGGGGTTGCATGACATGTTATCTGTGTGTTTAGGGCTATGCTTACTGATTCCACTTGTGGAATTCTTATTGTCTTCATGCTGTTTGTATGGCCACGAGAAAATCCCTTTGACGCTGAAGGTTGGACTCTATAGGGAACTTGATGAGAACCTTGTTTGCAGCTGAATACGAACCAATTCTCAATTGGAAAATAATGAAAATGAAATACAGTTGGTCATGCCAGTTACTGATTGCTGCCGGTTATGCCATATCGGAAGGAGTACAAGTAAATCAGAAGGTTCTTGTGCTGTTTTTCAATGAAGAGCGTTTCAGAAATCGGGATTATCGATTCTCATTTCATGTACCATGAAAGGAATTTTCCAAAACTTACAACATGTTTGGTTGCAACGTATGTTTGATAGATCTTAAAGACACCGAAAAATCTGTATCTCTCAGTTGCTGTCACCTCGTCTATCTGTTTCATGACAGAGTTCGCAAGTAACGTATCAACAGGAAGTATATTTATACCTATCGTCATATCAGTGGTATACTATATATTATTTTGATTGACATGATCTTGATGATTAAGGCTGAATCATTCCATATGAACCCATTGTACTTAGCATTGCCTACAGCTGTAGCATGTTCATTCGCATTCATGCTTCCTATGGCAACACCTCCTAATGCCATTGTGTATGATACAAAGATTGTGTCAATGTTTGATATGGTAAGTTGTAGCACTACTACTCTATTACAAGCTGCAAATCCTTTATGACTATCTGCCCAGCTTGCTCTAACCCACATCATAACCAATAACGAATCTTTCTCAACTTATCACGCAAATGTTATCCCTCAGTGATATACGAAGAACCCAGCAAAATATATTTCTATAGACGTAGAGAATGGTTGCATAACTTCATTAGTATTAGCTTTACACACAGGGAATTCACAACAACTTAGTCTGCCGTTTTTTGAAAGTTTGAATTGCATGATGCATAGGAACGTGATGATTCAGATGCCAAAGAAGTCTCGGATGGTAATGTTTACGGAGAAGAATGGTATTGCGTACTCAAAAAGCTTCACACATTTTAACCCTATATCCTTCTGAACTGATTATGTTTGAAATGAAAAATTTTATGTTTTCAGATTTGTACCGGTTTCTGTTTGAATCTTATGTGTATAGCTATAACGGTATTCAACATGAACACATACACGTTCTGGCTCTTCGATATGTCTCATGTACCTCATGTGCCATCACGTCAGAATGTAACACTTGCTTGTTAATTCATTTTGAATCACTCGTCCTATTATCTGTACTCCTATGACACCTCTGCCCTCCCAGTCCCTATCCCTCCTTACTCGGCGACGAAGAATTCTAGTAATTCGATGGATCTCAGAATATTTGCGAACAGGAAAAAAGCCAACCAATTTGTTTTTTTTTGATAGTGTTTAAATAAATGATTCTCTCAATACTATCTTAACTCTCATCTGTTTCGAGAAAATTCAAAAAAAATAGTTTTTCCCGAGTTTTACGGGGGTGCCAAACATTAATGGCCACGACTGTAACTGGTGCATGAACCATCTTGATCAAACGCTCAGGAGTTCAACCTTAGATTCACGGTCCGTATGAGACTCAGACACATGTTTATCAGAGTACTAAGAGTAACAGATAAAGTCCTCAAGATTTGAACATAATCAATTTGAAAAATTAAAAGAACCTCCACCCCCCTCTTTCCTATAGTACAGTAACTGGGGAACCGATAGCACAGCAACTGCGCTATCGGTTCCCCAGTTACTTCAGTACATTTTTCCGCTATCTAACCAGCGCGCCGTGGCAAAGACGCTTATGAAAGCAAGAGACGGCCAGACGGTGGGAGAGAGTGTGTGTGGAGTGTGCAACTGAGACGATAGAAGTTGAAGCAAGAGAAAAGGTAGAGAGAATAAGATTAGCAGATCAGGATACTCCTAGTAATCAAAGACATAGATAGCATCCTGCATAGATGATCCTGATCTCTAAAGGAGAAGTATGAGTAGCTCTAAGTCTGAGAACTCAAGACGGGTAAAGTTGAAGCAAGAGGGAAAGTAGAGAGAATAAGATAAGTTTGTAACGAAAGGAATGAAGAGCTTAAAACTGAGAAGGAATATCTATTCTTACAAACTCCACCACCCTCATCTGCTAAACAGATATAAAATAGCAAAAGTACTTGGAATTCCTTTATATTCGAACCATTTAGTTCGGGGGCCACCCCGATAGCACAGCAACTGCGCTATCGGTTCCCCGATTGCCTCAGAACATTTCTCCGCTATCTACCCAGCGAGACCAGGCAGAGACGCATATGAAAGCGAGAGACTGCCGGACGGTGGGAGAGAGTGTGTGTGGAGAGTGTGCAAATATGACGATAGAAGTTGAAGCAAGAGAAAAGGTAGAGAGAATAAGATTAGCAAATCA